TGTAAAACTTTAGTGCCTGGCTAATGGAGAAGTTGGCTGTTTTACCTCACCCAGTGGCTCTGCCTCTGTGGTAAAGCCTGGAAATCAGCTTTCTTAAAGATTACAACCAAGAAGACCATATATGGAAGTTCTACTCTATCATTTGGAGCTACTCTTGGTCAAAAAATGACTGGACTACAGCACACCTAGGGAGCTCTGGCTATGTAGCCCATAGGGAGTTAAACTGACAGTCTAAAGACTACTCCTCTATGGTAGTTTGAATCCACTAATGCATCTGAGGGGGGTAAAAAAGTGAACAGTCTCTTCTCATGTGATGTACAGCTTTGAAATCCCAGTGGGCAGTCAGCTGTGAGTTGGTTTCAATTCAGCTGTACTGAAAAAGAGACAACACATCTGGCTTCCTCCTACAAAAAGAGTTGTTTATTGAGACTTCTGTGGAACAGAATTCAGGTGTGGAACCTATACTTAGTTCATTTGTGCCTCTTTGATTTTCAAATGTCAGTATATATCATCAGACCTTATTTTAGACCTTCTGTATTAGATAACATTGTGGTATAATTGAATGAGCATGGGCTTTGGAGTCAGACCTAGTTTAAAAATTCAGATTTGTATGTAAAATGGTCCAAATGATAAACAGTGACGATTGTAAAGATTTTCGTATTTTTAATAGAGCAAAATGCAAAAATAATCGGCCATTGTTTTTTTTAATTTTGGGGGTTTTTTCTCTGCAAATTTTTTTGTCTTCATGAAGTTTCCAGCAAATAAATTATAATGTAATGAACCCTAAATCTGAATATAAGAACTCTGATGGTGTTGTACATAGTGTGTTATGCTGCTTACCAAAAGGTTGCATGTCTTGGGTGGTTTAAATCCCAAGATGGCCCCATAGGAGAATATGGCCAATTTTGTCTCCTTAAGACTTAAAACGTAGGTAACCCAATGAAGGGTCAGAATATATAGTATAAATTTCATTACCAAGACTATGAGATCTGACTTTTATTATCCACTCAGCCATCAAAAGTTTCTTTTTTGTATTGATCATTTACTCATTGAGATGATTAAGAATAAATTTTCAGAGCATCTGCCATTTTAATGTCATCCTCCATGTTCATATCCACCCCAATTAATTTCCTTTTATGGATTACACATCATGCTTTCAATAAAGCTGAATGTTTTCTGTAGGTAAAAAATAGTAGGCAATGAGGCACCAGGAAATCCGGATGCCAAATTGTCTAAATTTTTGTCATCTAAAGTCTAAGTCTTCCCACAATTCAAACTTTATAAATAAATCAGTGTAAAAAAAAATAAAAAAAGAAAAACACATAGTCCAAATCTTTGCCCACAACAAAATACTGGATACGAGATAACTAAAAATCACAAAGTGTTCTCTGTAATTTGAGACCTAGTGGTGCTGAATCAGAAAACCATGAGTAGATGACTTTTATAAAAAATGCATATATTTCTTCACAGTTTAAGAGGTTAGAAGTCAGGATGGTAACCCTAAGCGAGGGCTTTCTCTCTGTCAGCTCTGGAGGAAGGCCCTTGTATCCCTTCTGCTTCTTTGGGTCCAGTATTCCTTGCATATCTCCTGCATGTCATGACTAATATATCTTGGAATCACTGATTTCCTAGTTTTTAATAGTTCTCCCTACAAGGACCTTGTCATCAAAGGATTTGCTCTGTTTCTGCTTCTTCTTTATTGATGCCACCGATCTCATCTACTCTCTGTTTACTTCTATCTTCTTTTGCTCCTATGAGATAAAAGATGTTACACACCAAACTCCAGGGAAACTTTTTCAATTTCATCAGCACTGTGATGAGACTGAGATTCTCATTGGACCCTTGATATACTTAAAACTGGTTGGGTTTTCAGATCATAGGACATCATTTAGTATGTAACTTCCCTATTAAACATTATATACAAAACACTGCGAATCACGACCCAATCAGGTAACCAAGGAAACACATATTTCAGAAGGACACAATTCAATCCATGGCCAGAACATTAAAGTAGATGTAATAGTTTTTTAGACTTCTTTACCACATACCCCTCTTAATATGGTTTTAGTATGTGTTTCCTTCAACTTTTTACATGCAGTTTGTTTTTTAACATAAATTACCACATCCACAATATAACCATTGTTTTCCCATTTCCTCTCTGAGACTCTTCTTTTCATTAATCCTTCTATTCTACCCTTCCAGGTTTCTGAGCTTTATCTTTGTTAAATGCTATCCTTTTGATCTTGTGTGATTATTTATTGCAAGAAGTGAATGCCATCTTAATACCAGTGTTCACCTTATAGACCTCTGTCTCTATTATTCGTCTGAAAGATGCACCACAGAGAAGAGTTTTGTTCCATGCTAGAAAGATAACCAAGTCCCACAGATTTGGAAAGCTCCACTAGTATCTATCTGAACAAGAAACAGCACAATTTTTAAAATTTTTTCTGTTTTCTTCTGTATCTTTCATCTTCTCTACCCAAAACCTTCTACTGTGACCCTTTTTTTAGAGTGGTCAACAATGGTATCCCAACATCACATCTATTCTTAGGGTCATGGAAGGTTGAGATTCATGCTGTCAATCAACCTTCAATAATAACTCTTCTATGAATACTTGTTTGTCTTCTTCCTTCAGGAAGAGACTAGCAATATACTTTAGATGGCTGTCTGGAAACTTTTAGGTCACATGTCACTATTCACTGAAGTAATATTTAGAACATTAGATTTTTTGACTGTACGCCAATTGGCCTTAATGTCCATGGAATCCATGATCCTGAGGCATTAGGATCAGCACTTCTTTCTCTCAGGGTGTTCATTGATGATTTTGGAGCTCTAGTGGCCTTTTAGGTAAGAAATTGCACTGCCAAACCAAAGATAGCAGTTTGAATGCAACCAGCTGGAAAGATGATCTATCTCCTCTTGAGTGATTCACAACATCTGGAAGCCTGCTGGAGGCTCAACTATGAGTCAGTTCCAATTTGACAATTTAACAACATAACAACAACTACAGATTGATTGGTTGAATGAATGAATGAATGCATAAGTATTTGGCCAAATCTATGTATAAGCAGTAGTAGAGTCCCTTTGATCTATCCATATTCTGTTCATGTTTTCTGTCTTTTATAGCTATTTTTATATTTATTTTACCAATAAATTTATAAATTATTTGCTGCAGTTTCTACTAATTTATTATCTTCTTGTTTCTTAGATAAGTAATTCTCATGAATTTTCTTATTATCACATACTAAGACAGATTCCATCCCTTATCCTAAAGGACTTTCATTTAGCCTCCTAATGTTCTCTTATATAGTAATATTTTGAAGTTTTTAAATAATTCCATATTCACTAATAATTTTCCTTACTTATGAATTACTTATGAAAGATGGACGTACCAAAAATATCTTTGAAAGGTTTGAAATGATGAAACATTGCACATATATAAAGAGAAATAAGTAAAGATCGAGTGCATGGAGATTGTATGTGGTTAATGGTCTTGTTAAAAATATATTTAAGAGTATATAGCAACTGCAGTTTGGGACTGAAGGCTTTATGTGTGATTTTGGTGTATGTGTTTCATTTATAATGAAGACCAACATAAAAAAGACAATGAGGATGGATATGCTTGTTGTTGTTGTTGTTATGTGCTGTCAAGTCGTTTGCGACTCATAGTGACCCTATGTACAACAACCCTAAACCGTGCTCTATCTCTGACACACCCATCCCGATTACCCCAGTCACTGAATCAATACACCTCATAGAGGGTCTTCCCCTCCTGCGCTGTCCCTCTACTCTACCCAGCATGATGTCCCTCTCTAAAGACCTGTCTCTCCTTACAACTTGTCCAAAGTATGTCAGGCAAAGCCCCAGAATCCTGGCCTCCAAGGAGCAGCCTGGTTTAACCCTCTCTTCGATGAATCTGTTTGTTTTCTTGGCAGTCCATGGTACATTCAGTACTCTTCTCCAGCACCATAGCTCAAAGGCGTCAATTCTTCTTCTGTCCTCCGCACTCATTGTCCAACTCTCTGATGCATAACAAGTGATTGCAAACACCATGGCCTGTATCAGGCGCACCTTAGTCTTCAGAGAGACACCGTTGCTGTTGAGTACTTTAGAGAGGTCCCTAACCGCCAGACTTTCCCATCGCAATACATTTTTTTTTATTTCCTGGCTACTGGTGCCTAGAGTGTTGACTGTGGAGCCGAGCAAACTGAAGCTGTGAACAATCTCAATCTCTTCGCCATCCACCCTGATGCTACCGATTGGTCCGGTGGTGAGAATTATTGTATTCTTGACATTGAGTCTCAGTCCATACTGAAGGCTGCACTCCTTGACCCTCTGCTGTAAGTGCATGAGGTCCTCCTCAGTTTCAGTGAGCAAAGTTGTGTCATCTGCATAACGCAGATTGTTGATAGATCGTCCACCAATCCTAACGCCATGCTTCTCCTCATAGAGCCCAGCCTCTCGTGTTATTTAATAATATTTAATGCTCCCAATGAGATTAATTGATACAGTGACTACAATAGTAGATTCCAAAACAGTAAAGACCCTTTACACAACGACTAACACACAGTTATTGTTGTGTGCCATTGAGTCAGAACTGACTCATAACTGAGCCTTCAGCAGGTTTTCAGAGGAAGTTAATGGTGTGAGAGAAGATTGTCCATCCTCTTCCAGGGCAACAGGTGGATTCAAGCCAAGTGCCTTTGGGATTGCAGTGGAACTTCATACCACTAGGCTATCAGAGCTCTCTAACAGCAATAGCAGCATTATTTCTATTATTTATATATCTTGTTGTTGTTGTGCACTATGGAGTCGGAACTGACCCATAACTGACCCTCCGGCGGGGTTTCAGAGGCAGTAAATCACATGGGAGGAAATTGCTCACCCTTCTCCCACAGAGCAGCTGCTGGCCTCCAACTGCGCGCCTTCAGGATTGCTGCAAAACTTCTTGCCACTATATGCCCAACAATATTTAATAATCTCCATTATGTTCTTTACAGATATGACATCAGAGATGATTACACATTGAGAATTAAAAAAGCCATGAGTTCAGATGAAGGCACCTACATGTGTGTTGCTGAGAATCGGGTTGGAAAAGTAGAAGCCACTGCTACTCTCACTGTCAGAGGTAAGTGACTTAACATGTCGAATATAAGAGCACCAGGAGACCAATACTTGGTTAAATTGGTAAGTGTGAACACAGTCAAAATATCAGCTTCCATTCTTTCATTATTATACATAGTTTTGGTAACCCATCATTAATAGAAATAAATTTACTCTCAGTATTGAATTTCAAAAGGCAGAAATTTAAAGGAATTAATTTTACCTAATGAATAATTGCTTATGTGATTTAAAGAAAATAATTCACATGGTTTCAAAAATGTTTAAAATAATAAATATCCACATTTTTAGACCATTCCCATTCGTAACAACTCTTTACTACTCTTAAAAATGTTACATGTTTTAAAGGTACTTTAATTTTTTTTTCCATGTCTGCCAATTATATTAGAATTGCTTTGAAATTTTTTTGTTGTTGTTAATGTTAACTTTCGAGTTAACAATTTTAAAAAACAAACAACCAACTAGCATTGCTTCCAAATGTGAAAAATGAATGGGGATGCCAAGGTGTTCTAACATTGATAATCTGGCTCCAAGCATATTATATGAAGTTCAGTGACCTTAAAGAATTGAAATAGTCATTGTCATATTTTGCAATAATCCTTACATTCTGAGTATAACACATTTCCTCATTCTTGGGACAGAGTTTATTTACAGACTCACTGAAATTACTTATAAATGGAAGCCTTTCAATAGAGTTTATACATAGAGAGCACTGGAATGAACTAAGCCTTAACAGGATAGCATGCTCATCTACAGAAGGAAATTAAAAAAAAAAGAGAGAGAGAGAAAAAGAAGGAAATTAAATCGTCCAATGTGCCAAATAAAACTATGCAGACAGGTACTTTTCTTCCTCTTCTTCTTTTTTTTTTTTTTTTTTTACAAAATAAACACTATCTATTACATCTTTTACCTCACAGCTTTTTGGAGGCATGTAAGGGTATCCCTTGCTCCATCTTTCAACATTCTCTCTGCTTTCTTAACTAATGCCTCCTCCTAGCATCCTTAGTGAGAAGGAGGTTGGTTGCACACTTTAACATCTCTGTTACCTGTCAACCTAGTTAGTCCTATCCCTTACTTTTGTGTGACTGTGCTCCTAGAAGATTTCTTAAAAATAGGAAAAGGGATTGAAGGTTTACAGCAGTTAGAAGAAATGTACCAGGTATCCTCAGCATGGTCTTCAATCTTGTGAGGAAAAGGTTTTTTCTCACTCTTCCTAAAGATAAATAGATGTTTTTAATCAGATGTATAATTTGGACTTTACATTCTAAACCCAAGACAAACAAGAAGTTAAAAAAAGCCAAACAAACCACAAACATCATCTTCTAGGCAACTAGTAGGAGACAAATATAATGGATACCAAGATAGTTATTGGCTCTCTGTATACTGCTCAATAGCTCCAATCCTGAAACATTCGATCCATTTCTTTTTCCTTATAGACAGAAAAGATATGATCATGTAACAATCATGTCACTATATATTTCCAGATATGTAAGACAAAGCAAACAAACAAACCAAACTCGAATAACCTATATATAAACATAGACATAGCCATTGATATATAGAAATATATGCCTACATAGATGTATTTGTTGTTGTTATATACCATAGATGGAACTGACCAGTAGCTGACCCTCCAGAGGATTTCAGAGGCAGTAAATCTCATGAGAAGAGACTGCCCAGCTTTCATCCACTGGGCAGCTGGTGGACCAGAACCATGTGTTTTTGGGTTGGCAGCACAGTTTCCTGTAACAACTCCCTTATGTCTTTATAGATACAGATATATTTTTTTTTGCTTTTAACCTGAAAGCTCTTATAAAAAATCATTTGCTTAACCAAATTAACCCCAAAGTTGATTTATATTACTTCTCTGAAGTGAGTGGATTTAAGAAAAATAAAACAACCAACCAACCAATTAATGCTCTATTTTAAAAAAAATATTTTCTGACTAAACAAATGGTGAGAAATAGAGGAATTGTTTGTTTGTAGAAGCAACAGGGTTCCTTTTATACAGGAATGCTTGGATGAATGAGATTTGAAGTTATCTGTTTAAATTCTTAACCCAATTAATTGGTTTGGGGGGGGTTTGGGTTTTTTTCATAATTTACTAAAAGTTTCAAGTTTAACATTTATTTAACAAAGCTTGTTTCTTATGAATGGTCCTTTGAATCCAACTTATAAAGCTAATAGAGAAAGTTTTTTTAACAGCATATTGAGGGTTTTGGGGGGTTTTAAGCAGCATATCTTAAATTGCTTTGATCCCAGTTTATGCTTTTTTGAATGGATTAGAGCTTAATCAGGATACGTAATTAACTCCCATCTAAGACGGAAACCTAAGAAAACAGGGTTAAAAGGAAAGAAGCAAAACAACACAACTCCATATGTGATATGTTGTTTAAAAGTAGCTTTTCACAATCAGCAAAAACAGTTGGGATTTCTCATGCTAAAATAAAAATCACCAAGAAAAAAAAAAGTTCTCTGTAAGTCTCATTTTTCCCTGCCCACGTCTTTCTGTGCACATAATGAAATGATCAGTGTTTATTTTGTTAGAACAGGGTCAGCCAGCCCAAGAGGCCACTTCCATTTTCAACCATTTAATGCAGGGACACAATTTAGTTTCATTTGTTGATTTTTAAAAACATCCACCTGCTCATTTTTCTTTTTTCCCTCTAGGAAGAAATGTTGATATCTGGCAGAGGCAAGAAGTTTTGTTGGGATGTTCCTGATAAAAATATTATCAAGATAATAGTTTTGCTATGTTCAGCCAGTTGGGGAAAATATTGGACAGCTAGGGAAAATATTCTAAAGTTTTATAGGCATAATCTGACACAAAACTTATTCAATCATTTTCTTAAAAAAATAATGAAAATAGACTATAAAGTCAAAGTTAAAACCTAATGATCACCCTTTGCTAATTTCGACAAATGTGACTTAAATACAAAATAATGCTAGCCAACAGTGTCTTCTCAAGCATATTTTAAACAAATAATAAGCAAACTAACACAAAAAACATATTCTAAGCTCACATATTCCCATTGTTTTTCTATAGCTTAAATTCATTTTGCATAACCAAGGACTGTTGGGAAAATTGTCTTACACTGAAGGGGAAAAAAATAATATTTTTTTAAATTATCCTAGGTAGAGTGGAAGAAAAAAAATATAATTTCTTTCTTTAAGGTATTGTTTCTCACCATAGTTTCTTATTTATCACTCATTTAAAACACAAATGACTGTCCTCACTCAAAACGAGGCAACTATAAATATACAATGGCAAAAATAAAAGCCAGTTCTTCATGTGGCTATTGGGAAAATGAAAATAAATCTCATCACAAAAATTGTTAAAATGTGGAGTCTCATCAGAAAAAAAATTGCTCAATTTTGTTATCAGTGTGATGTCTTATTCTGAGGGTTCTGGCTTTGGGGTTTTTTGTGTTTTTGTTTGTTTGTTTGTTTTTGGTTGTTTTTTTTAATACTGTCTCTCCACAAGGAAATACTGTTTTTGCACCTTCAGAATCTTATATCTTTCTTATTTTTTTTTCCTGCTCTGAATCTGCTACTTACTGTAGGACACGTTAGAGTTTTACTAGTTAGGATTTTGCTATTACTGCTGTAATTACATTTGAATTACCTTAATCTTTTCCTGTCAATTGTGAATAAAATGTCTCTATTCACAATGTCTTTATTCTTATATAGTAGCTATAGAATTATTTTTTTAATTTCACTGAGCTAATATTATGATGTTTAATTGATTGTATATGTATGTTTTTAATGACTATGTCTATGTCATCATACCCAAAGATCCACCATCAACACAAAACTACTCAGAAATTTTAGTTATAAGTAATTTTCTATTTTGAACTGTAACATTTTGAAAGATTTTTAAAATATTTGTTTTCATTTGGATAATGGGACCACAAGTCTTGCAATATTTTCCCATTGCTTTCTGAACAAATGGTTTACTGCATGAATTGATTTGGCAATATTCTTTTATAAAGTGTTAAGTTCATGTGTGTCTCTTACAATTTCTGTGTTTTAATAATAGGCACAGCTTATTACGACCAATTTTAGTGATTGAACGTTATGGTATAATAAAAAAAATAATAATTTGTTGAAGCAGCAGTATGAAAGTCACTCTCAGTATGAACAAGAATCAACTTGTCAATCATTTCTTTCCCCTCCTCTGCCCTCTGCCAAAAAGAGAAAAGCTTAGCAGTAGTTAGGGAGCTACTGAGTTGAAATCTCTAAGGATGTTCTAACCTATTTGTTATATTTTCATCCACACTGTCCACGGATGAAAAGTGATGTGATCTTAACCTATTACTGGCTGAAAGGCAGTGTCAGGGGCTTTTCTGTAGTCCTTGTAATGGTTCTGACTAACCATGCTTAAAATCCAATTGCTATTTAAATCAGACAGTGAGGCCTTCTTTTATTGACATGACATTTGCTACTCTGTGACTTGAATAGTTATACTCTTCAGGTTTTTAACTTAGGGGTAATACAAAACGATTTAATCCTAAATAGGTCTTTGAAATAACAACTACAGTAAGGGGAGATGAGGAGATTCCATTTCGAGCATCTTAAACATTAGAGACAGTCCCAGGATACAAAATAACTATTTCACAGAATTATGTTAACAATTTCTGTTTATCAATCCCAGACATCCTGTTCATACTTGAATTTGTGAGACTTAGAGATCATTCTACTGTCCATACTTAAATGTAACATTACTCATCATGCATTTTGATAATTTTCTTTTTCTTTTAATTTCTTTTTTATGTTCTCACCACACCATTGTAATGTCTACAGCTCGCCCTGTTGGTAAGTAGCCATCCTTCTACCCATTTAGCATGGCTTTGTATGATGCTTCATAACTCATGCATTCAGAATTTGATGGATTGAAATCTACTTATTCACTGATGTTAAAATATGTGAGACTGTCTGTCATGAAAGTTGCTTTTGATATTTTCATCACTTTGATAAGCCATTTGTAGCAAGTCTTGCTATCTAGCA